ATTTTTGATTTGAAAAGAGCCAGATGAAAATTCCAAAACGAAAACTACAGTAACCCAAAAATTATTCAGCTTCCCGATTTTTTTTCTCGAAATTTGTTCCGTTTTTCGGCAATTCTTGTATTTTTAAATAGTTATTTTCCTATATTTTTCAAAATTTTCTGTTTCACAGTTTTCCCAATTTTTCCTGGTTTTGTTTTCGGCAATGCAGTCATTATGTTTTTTTGGATTTTGAAAAAATCTCATTTTCAAATCCAATCAATTTTTCAGTTTGCTATTTATCCTTTTTTATCAAGATAAATGATTCCTATTTTACCAAAAATGACTATTGCCGAAAAAAATTGTGGGCGTTCGAGTAGCTTACATTGAAATACATGTAAGTTTCGAGCCCTTTTCTCAAGTATTGGAGGTCAATATTGGGAAAAAAAGGTTAAAAAATGACGTTGCCTCAAAAATTTTAAAATTGGGTAAAAACTGAAGTTTGACAGTAAAATTTTCGAATCAGGCAAATCCATGTTTTTGAATTCAACAAAGTGTGGTACCATCGTTTTAATTTCAAAATCAGAAATACTATAGTCAAACAGAAACAGAGAAAAAATTTACAGAGTGGGGATTTTTATGTTTAAAAGGGGACTCCGACCAAAAATTTTTATTGCATTAAAATGTTCAAAAAGTTGTCTATTTTCCCAATATTATAACAAAAAAATTCGAGAAAAAATTCCTAAATCACCGAAAAATGGAGTTAAAAGCGAAAAAATTTCAAAAAAAAAGTTGCTAGGAGGGACGAGGATTTGAATTCCCGCGCAGTGAGAAACCTAGGTCACGGCGCCTGACAGCCGTTTTTTCAAGTGGCCGATAGTGGTTTTCTACGTTTTTTACCTGCCGGACATGAAAACTGATAAAATCCGGACAAATTTCGGTGGTACGACGGATTGGAGATTTCCTAAAATGAAACTGTAGCAAAATGAAACATTTCCTAAATCAAAATGGTTCCAAATTGAAAACTGTGCGAAATCAGAACTGTCCGGAAGTATGAATTGGACAGAACAGAAATGCCTAAAGTGAAATTGTACCGTTTTGGACAGCTGTTAGCGCGAGCGCTCTATTGTTAACAGCTGTCCAAAACGGAACAGTTCTACTTTAGGACAATTCCACTTTCGCATTTTCTGCTTTCGGACAGTTTTCATTCCGTAAATTTTTCAATTTGGAAGTATTCAGAAACATTTCATTTTGGGAAATGTCCGATCCGTCGTACCACCAAAATTTCCATGTATGATGCCGTGGCCTAGGTTTGATGCCGTGGCCTAGGTTTCTCACTGCGCGGGAATTCAAATCCAATTTTTTTTTCAAAACAGTTTTTCGGGGATTTAGGATTTTTCTTTGAATTTTTTCGCAACAATATTAGGAAAAAACATATTTTTTGAAACATTTTAAGGCAATAAAAATTTTTGGTCGGAGTCCCCCTTCAAAGGTGGTGTACGGTGAAATTTTTTATTGTCTCAAAATGAGCAGAAAAGCATGTAAATTGACATAAAAATAAAGAAAAAATTCGAAAAAATTCCTTCGTCGAGAAAAACGCATCGAAAAATACGCTGAAAGCCCTTAGGGACGAGCTTTTTCACTTGTTTTTCTAGGCCATCCGGTGAGTAAAGGCCATCCGGTGAGTAAAGCGCGCGAACTCAAACTTTTTATTTTTTTGCTCGGTTTTACTGTTTTTTTCAAGTTTTCCGATATATCTGGAAGAAAAATTGACAAAAACCTTGAAAAACCTTGGAAAAACCGAAAAAAGGTGAGAACGAGCGAAAAAATTTTAAAAGTTTGATTTCGCGCGATTTTACTCACCGGGCGGCTTAGAAAAAACCTCGTCCCTAAGGGCTTTCAGCGTAGTTTTCGATGCGTTTTTCTCGATGAAGGAATTTTTTTTTGAATTTTTTCTTTATTTTTATGTCAATCTACATGCATTTCTGCACATTTTGATGCAATATAAAATTTCACCGTACACCACCTTTAAAGGGGGACTCCGACCAAAAATTTTTATTGCCTTAAAATGTTTCAAAAAATATGTATTTTCCTAATATCTTTGAACACAATCAGAGTAACAAAAGTATTCGAAAATTTTTAAAGTCACTTTTTTGAAACAGCAATTTTTTCGGCTTTTTATGACAAGGGGGGAGGGAGCAAGAAGAAAAATGTTGACTAAGTTAAGACTTACTAATTTTTTCAAGTTTTTCAGATGTTTCTATGAAAATTGCTTATTTTCGCTTGTTTCCATAACAATTCATCACTTCGAAAAATATCAGTTTAGGTAGGTTTTTTGCATGAACAACACTGATTTGCCCATTGTTACTGTGTAATTTAGGTTTATTGAGCTAATATTGAAATAATTCGAGGCTTAGTAACAAAAAAAAATAAACGGAAAATGAACAAAAAATGGTATAAACTGAAAATTTCAAAAAATGATGAAGAATGTTCAAAATTCGAAATTTTAATGGAAACAACTGCAAAACAAGAAAAAACGGCAAAATTCAACTTAGCCATAATTTTTCCACTTGGGCCCACCCTTTTGTCTTGGCATTCGGTCGGGAAATTTAGCCGACCGACATCCGTCCAAGCTGACCGATCGGTCAGGGCGCCGACCGTTTTCGTGCATTTGCGCACTGTATTTTACGACAAACTACTCAAATGCCTCGTTCGTCGTAGAATAAAGTGCTTCGTACGTGCTTCGTACGCAAATATAGGCATTTTGATGAGCAAAGGAACGAAATCGCTCGGCGCGCCAAAGAAAATCTGTGTTGAAAAACCGTGTTTTTTTATCCCAACATGCGCTTCAATTATTGTTCTATTTGATTCTTTTCACTGAAATAATAGCTCACAAGGGAAGTGTTTTCAGAGGGGCGTTGAGAATTAGCTCAAAATTTGTACAAAGGTACTTTCGAACATGCTGAATACGATTTCATCAATATCTCGGTCATAACCCTAATAGGAACAAAAATATGGGCTCTCAAAGTGTTTTCAGTACTAAATTTTGACCCAAAAAGTGCATTTTTCGAGCTTTAAAACTCTTTTTCCAGGATTTTTTCAAGCGTGAAACTCTTTTTTGATCATTTCTCTATCATCTGAAACATTTTTTGTACAATTTCAAAAAAAAATTTTTTTAAAGTGATTTTTTGAGAAATTTTTTTGAAGTGCAAAAAAGTCTTTCAAACATTCAGAAATGATAGAAACAACATTTTCATAGAATTTGGTAGCTCGATTTCGTCTGTGAGCCCTGAATAATTCCCAAAAATCTGATAATTGCAAGAAATTTGAAAAACTGTAACTTCTCAAATATTGCAAAAAATCGCACAGAATACACAGAAATATGTAAAGATCATTTGGGTGATCGATTTGGTGGTGTTCCACTCAAAAAAAAAAGCAAGACAGAGCAATTCCGAGAGTCGAAAGTTTTGCTTTTGGGCGATAGGACAAGTCGAAAAACACAATATTTCAAAATTTCTTCAAAATTTCAAACGCCTTCTTTTTCACTTTGAAAACGTCGGGAATTCATGAAATAAGTATAATTTGTTATTCAGGGGACCAAAATGGATATCGAAAATTCGTCTCGAAAAAAACAAAAAAAAGATTTACCACAGTGGGGTTCGAACCACCATAGTCACTCCTAATGAGTCTCCCTCTTGCCACAACACCACACAACCGATATTTTCCTCTGGCGCGGAGTGCGTATAGGAGAGAGGGGCGTAGTGGAGTGAGGGAGGGGGCGAAATCGGTATAAAAATTTTCAGACGAAGATTTTCAGCTTGTTGATGATACTATGACCTAGATTTTTTCGTCATCGTGTTACGGATATCTCAAACTATCTGAAATATCTCAAACTATCTGAAATAACTGAAATTTTTAGAAAATTCTCAACGCCCCTCTGAAAACACTTCCCTTGTCAGATATCATGAAAATCCATTTTTTAAATACATTATTTCCAAATGATACTATTCATTATTTCAAAATTAGGAAAATCTAATTAAATTGAAACAGAAAAATTTTATTTGAAAAATTTTAAATTTCTAGATTTTCTAGATTTTTCTCATCCGTTGATTGTTTGATTGATCATGCTCGATGGTTCAAACTTGAAATTTTGAAAGTTCAAAAGACTTTTTTTGATTTTTGAAGAAAAATTCTTTCCACCAACCTTTTTTTTAGTTTTTGAAATTTGGATTAATTTTGAAGCAGTTATCAGCAGTTATCAATATCAGTTTCAATTTCTCTGAATAGCAATAATTTGATTTCTCGTCATATTGATCTTAAAATCTGTAATTTTTTTGTTTTTTGTGGTCTCCCTAATTTTTGAACTCTCATTCTGTCTATAATTTACACAAATTTTCTTCTTTTCAACCCTCAAAAACATGTATTCATGTTTTTCAAGAGTCCCCATTCATAACTGAAAAAAAGATTCTAAAGAAGAAAAAAAGCGGGACCATAAAACATGCCAAAATTGCATTGAGTCAAAAAAGAAAGAGAAAATAAACGAAAAAGAAGACCAAAACAGAAAAAAAACTCGAACGTTCCAAAAAAATGACCATACCCTTATGAATAATTTTTTGCGTTTATGGACATCTGGACATTTGGACAAACAAATCCACAGATTAAAATAGCTGAAAAAACTGAAACTTTAAAAATTCAATTTTTTGAAAAGCTTTGAAATCTGAATATTTCCAAAAAAAATCAAGGAAAATTCTCAAACTAATCCTTATATACTGATTTGAAAAAATTACTGTTTCAAAAAATTTCCGATGAAGCAGTAGTTTTTGAATATTAATAATTCTGTCCTATGAGATTGTTGAATTTCTGGATTTTCTTCATTTCCCGGGAAAAGTGGGCGGAGCCATGAGCCGGACTCTAAATTGTTAGCAACGCACGGTTTGCCGAACATTTTTTTCCTTGCCGTAAAAAAAACTTGCAATTTAGGTTCCGCCCATTTTCCCCGGAGGAAAAATTTTCAAAAAACAAATTCACAAGTTTCCAGAAAAATTCTGAGATTCTGAAATTCTGCGATTCTGAGATTCTGAGATTCTGACATTTTGAGATTCTGAGATACTGAGGTTCTGAGATTCTGAGATTCTGAGATTCTGAGATCCTGAGATTCTGAGATTCTGAGATTCTGAGATTCTGAGATTCTGAGGTTCTGAGATTCTCAGATATTGAGATTCTGAGATTCTGAGATTCTGAGATTCTGAAATTCTGAGATTCTGAGATTCTGAGATTCTGAGATTCTGAGATCCTGAGATCCTGAGATTCTGAGATTCTGAAATTCTGAGAGATTCTGAGATTCTGAGATTCTGAGATTCTGAGATTCTTGAATTTCCAAATCTCGAAAGTCTGAAAGCCTAAAAATCTGAAATTCTATGAAAAACTCTTGAAAATGTAACCAAAACATTGAAAATTCCAAAAATCTTGAAATTTCCAAAAGTTCAAAAATCCCCATTTTTTTCTAAAATCTCGAATTTTCCAGTTTCTGAACAAAAATTGAATCAATTGTCCAGAAAAATGCTGAAAATGCATCCAATGTACTGATTTTCAAAAAATTACTGTTTCAAAAAATTCCAAATGAAACAGTAATTTTTGAAGATCTATTAGTACTTTCGACATTTCAGACTTTATCCATTTCAAACTCTCGAAAATTCTATCTCCTCTTGGTCCTTAAATTCCTGAGAAAGGAGTGGGCGGAGCCTAAATTGAAAGTTGTGCACAGTTTTTCCGTATAAAATAATGCAACCTAGACTCCGCCCACTTTTTCTGGAGGGACCTCAATGTTCAAGTTACCTCTTGAAAATGTTTCAAAATTGCATAACCCAAAAAATTGGTCCCCATTTCTCCTCAAATTTCAAATTTGCCACTTGTTCATTTCTTTCCAAATTTCAAATTTCAATGGGTCGGCTCTCTTTTCGAAAAAAGAACAAAAAGAGTTCGGTTTTTGGTGACCACTTGCTCATTGAATTCTCTCTGTCTTCCATTGTTTACTAACTTTTCATTTCGTTTTTTATTCTTTTCTTTTTTCACACAAACTTCTGTTCTTCTCACCTTTTATCTCAAAGAATTTGGTCTTTGAGTAGTTTTAACACTACAAACTACAATATTTTTTCTAGAATTTTTTCTTCCGGAACATTCATATCCTTTGAGTTTCCGTTTTTTAATAACTGTGCGTAGTTCAAAAAATTCTTTATTTGGATTTTCATTTCATAGAACAGTAAAAAGGTGTCGTTATTTGCTGGAATGTAACAGTATTTTATAAAATTAAAATTAATATTAAAATTTTTGAAACAGTGAAATTTATAAAAACTTCAAAGTTATTTTACTACTTAAATTAAAACATAACATTTGACCCGAGTTTATCCAACAATGGAATCGATAAATTAGAACAAAAAGGGAATTTAAAATTTACTGTTTCAATGGGAAACAATGGATCCAAACAAACAAAATTAATATAATGGTTTCTTCGGGACCTGCATTTTTAAATTAAAAATTTTAATAATTTTTGTTTTATTTTAATATCAGAAAAAATTGAACTTAACTTAGCAAGTGCGATCAAATGCCACTAGAACGGAACTGCATAATATTTCCCAATATACAAGTATATCATTTTTGAATATCACTATATCATTTTTGAAACAGTAAAAATGTAGTCAGAATTTCTCAATTTTTCATAAAAACCAGAAAGTTTCATTCAAATGAGAAATGCCGTTTTTGCACTGAAATGATAGTTAGGCATGCCTCTTCAAAATCGCTTATCTCAGCAAAATGAAAATTGACTAAAAAATTAGAAAAATGAAGCTTTTTTTTTGTTTAGTATACCCTGAAATTTTCAGACAAATGGAAGAATTCTGGACTACTTTTGTAGAACTCGGAAGTTGACTAATTCAAGTGAAAACACAGTAGGCCACGATATTCTTTGTCCAGTTATGTAGTTGTATCCTACAACAGAGAAAGAGAGAGATAGAGATCCGTTTTGAAAGTATTTTCCAAAATTTGTTTTGAAAACTTATAAATCCGCATTTCCCAGCAAAGTCAAAGCTATTTTTTGAGAAAAATACTGAAAACAAGACGTATTTTTACGGCTAATTCCGGTATAAGTTCATTAACAACAAACCGTAATACAAATCTTCAAATTTCGGTTGAAACAGTGAAAATCTTCTGAATATCATTCTGAAATTCTTTAAATTTTTTTCTATGTCCAAAATGTCCAGCATTTCAAAAAGTTTTGTCTAAAAAAGTATTTTAATTGGGACAGAAGATTATTGAAAATTAGTTTCTTTAGTTAACTTGTAAATTTGATATTTTTCCCTTCAAATTCAATGAAATTATTTGAATAATCACTGAAACTGTCCATATTTTTCAAAAAAAAAAAGTATCCGAAGACAGAGATACAAAACAACTTTGGGACCCAGATGATCTGAAATTTGTTAATTTTTTGAAACAGTAATTTTTGAAAATTTATCATTTTTCTAAAACAATACAGTTTCCACTTGGGTCC